TAGCCTTAATTTGGATAGAGAAAGATGAAGCCTTTGTAAATATAAGAAAAACTCTAAATAAAAGCACAGCTTACATATGAATAGGCATATTAAAATCTACAATAAATTTATCAAATTTTATCTTAGTAAGCTTCCTCACAAATTCCACTGTTTTAAAGAAAACAAGAAGCACTGACAGTGAAATAAATCAACATTAATACAGACCCTAATACATTTTCCATTTCATCTTCCTGTGTGACAAAGGGAGCTATCCTGCAAAATATTATTTCCAAAACATTAGCTAACATCTGCATCCAGAACTAAGAGTTAGAAATTGGAAAAATTAGGAGAGTTAGAAATTATTTCTCTCTATAGGACCATACTAAAAAGCAGAAGTCAGATAAGGTAGACCTGTCATGTACAATATGAGTGATGTAAAATGTTAAGGAAAATGCAAATGGGATTTCAAAAAGCAATTACACCTTCAACCACTTCTTATGTGTGAAATACAGCCTATGACAAAGACCTTCTACAAGGAGATGCATTTTGAAAAGATGACATATTGGAGGAAATAAAGTGCAGTAGGACAAACAGCTTGAAATACAATTGACCCCAACCTCAGTACCTTTCTTAACAGAAGTCAAGATGTTCAGAGATTAAATGATCTGACAATCCAGGTGAAGCTGCTTTTATCTGCATGTGCAGTGTAAAAATTCTAGTTATCTGGGACTACCCAGATCACTGGTTATTGTTTTCATGTCTCTCTCAACAAGGCTATTCTACCCACAGCAAATGAGGTTGGAAATATCGAACATGAATCACAATATCCACGTGGACATTGGGAACAGCCAGATAAAACTGTCATAATAAAATCCAATAAGCCATACCCTATTACAGCAAACACACAGAGAAAATGGCACAGGAGAGCTATCTGCTCACTGAGCTGGCTGACACTGATGCCATCCTGTGCCTAACTGCTCAGCTCTTCCCAGGCTGAGAGGTTTCATAACACCTTAAATTCCAGGCAGCAATACCATTTGTGTTGTTGTCATAGCAATTCTGACAGTATAAAAATGGATAGCCACTTACAATTCCTAGGGGACAGTTAATTTCAGTAATTCTCTTCAGCAAATATCCTATGTCAAGCTCTGACTGTGTGAACTGTTTGCAAGAGCAGAAATCTAGGACTGGTAAAAAACTGACAAATCCACTAACTTTCCATAAGTGTCTGAGCACAATCAGCTCCAAAGTATTCTTTCATTAGGAATTCAAAAGTGAGAAATACTCCGAATCAGTGGAAGCCTTCAGAATCTTGCTTTAATTTCTGCATCTCTATTTAAAAAAATAAAGGCAGCTTTATATGTCTTTCATTAAATTGCTGTGAGGCTTCCTAAATGCCTGAGTGCGAATAGTGTCCTTTTAAAAAAAGGAAAAGGAAAAATTATTTGACAAAAACCACCACCACCAACAACAACAACAAAGTGCTTTAGCCGCTGTGTATAAAAGTAGAAAATAAAGATCATCCTTCTTCTTCTTCCCCTTTCTTTCCACTATCCAAAACCAAAGCAAACTGCTCAGTGATCTGAAGCTGACGGAAAACAAAACTGGACTATAAAAACCTCAGAAAGATGGAGCGTTAATTCTTATTTCTTTCCCTCCAAGAACAACTCCATAAAGTCTTAGCTTTTATCACACTAAATGAGACCGGACATAGAAAGGTATAAAAGAAACCACATGGACCATATGTCTTTTTTTCTCTTCACTATCACAATTGTGCAGTGAAGTAGCCGATGTTATCAAGTTTTACAGATAACAAACAGAAAAGTATCTAACACTTATACAGAAGATTACGTCATATTTTGAGCCCATTTATTTCTAAGTAGTTCATAAAACTGCCATCTTACTCATCTCCTGAATTTTACAAACTGAAAATACAGGAAAATTATCTAAAGTATGAAATACCATGGGTAATTAAACAAACACCCTCTCAGTTTCTTGTACAAAATAAATAAATAAATGAAACACACTTTGTCACTCTCTGACTCAAAGCCTTCTCCACATGCCCAAATACCATCAAATAGCTAAAATGTTATTTACATTTCCTAAATCAAGAGCACTTCTTTCTAAAGCCCACATTACACTGCAATATCTATATCTATATCTATATATATACACACACTATACAGATTTATCTAATCATACATTGAACATATGTGGTCCTTTGAACATGGAAGCCTTTTAATTTGGCAGCCAAAGGCAACATTGCTTGACTCTCGTCCTGTCCCTCACAGTGAACACTAACATTACTCATCTTTACTGAAAAATAGCCAGTGTTGCCGTTTCTCACAGAGCATGTTTCACAAGGCATTCACTCACTGATCTATCAGCAGACTGTAATTTCACTTTGTTACAGAGGAGTGAACCCTAGGAACTCCATATGCAATCTAGTCATGTCCATGTTATGACAGTTTTGAACTGATGTTAAACATAATCTTAATTTAAGGCATAACAGCTACTCAATTTTGGGTGCCTTTTGGGAGGGAAGTAATCACAGTTAATGCTTCATATCCCCATCCTAAACAGCAGGTGTTCAAATGAAAGCTCCGAGATATCAATTGGAAATTAACTCTCAACATTTTCCACTGCTGACAGTGCAACAGTTGCTGATCATTTTAATAGTATTGGCGAATCTTCTCTTGTCAATAAATCTTTATTTTTAAAATAACATGGATTATTTTCTTCAGCTTAGATCCTGAACTCTTTAAGCTGTTGATTAAACTTGCGGTTCTCATCTATGACAAGGGACTGAGCAGTCTGTGATTAAGTTTCAGCTCAGCAGGCCATTTTAAATGCCAAAACCATTTCAAGCAGAAGGTCGGTTCTCCTTCACATACCAGATGTTTTCCATGCACAAAGACATTACAGGTTGAAACACCACCAAAGTCTCTTCCACACAGAAAACGTGAGTATTCTTTCAGGACATGTGGAGAGCCTCAGTATCTTTTATTGTGTCAATGTTGTATTGCCCAGCAAACAAACAAAAAGATCCTTCTGCTGAGCAAAATGTTTCCCTACACTTGCTAATATGGGTTTTTCAGATGTTAATCTACCACCAAACCACAACAGAACACAAAGCCCAGCATGTTCTGAACTCTAAGAACTCCAATCCTTTCATGCATTACCCTTTGCAAAACATTATTATAGCATGTTCTGTGTCTATTTTGTCCTCAGAACAGTGCAATTCAGTCTAAAGCAGGTATGCAGGCTGCTGAAATGCAGGAAGGGTGTTAATGAGTGAAGTAATTAGTCAAGAGAGGTCAAAAATCCAACTGTCATAACTACATTATTGTCACCTACATACCTGGTTCAGCTCCATTCTCAGACTCAAAATGAATTAGTCTCTAATGGGCCAGTTACATTTGCACCCCTCCTACACTCAGTAAAACTCAGAATCTTCCAACCATTCATTCTGTTCAATTCATGCACTTTATATGCAGGAAATGGGCTCTCTTGAACCAGTTTTGGATTAAAGTTTAACTAATATCCTTCCTGCAATGCTAAAGATGCTTAAAAGCATTTACCAATTAATTTGTCAGAACCATAACTCGGTTATGGTTTACAAAAAGAAGTATGCAGGAATTATTTTTTAGCTAAGTGATGAGAATCATTTGATTCTCATCAAATGAGAAGGAAGGTTTTCACACTGAAAAAAAGAATTGCTGCAAAAATGGCTTGAAGAGTAAAACAACATGTACAACACAAAAAGGTGTTGCCTGTTCTAACACTTGCAAACACTTGTTTAGAAACATGCCCCAGGTTGTCTAATGACCAGAACGGGAGATAACTTCTGCCTTAGCAGAGAATGTCAAGCTGTATCAGTTACAAACTAAATAAATAACAGAATTTATTTAATCAGGAATATTAGATTTATCAAACCCTTACCGTGTAGCTAAATACCAAACACAAACAGTCTGAATTGCTTGCAAGTTGTATTTTGTACCTCAAAGTACAGGTCACGCTTGGGAAGTTACACGGAAGGCCACCGTGCCTTTGGCAGAGATGTGCAAGAAGTAGTTTAAACTGCAGTAGTTTAAACTGCAGTTCCCTCTCATTAGTGACCAAGATCAATACCTCTCTGCAGACATTGTAACAGGGCACAGTCTGGAAGGTACCACCTTACTAGCACCATTAACAATGGCAATAATATGGGCAATATATAGCAGTCTCTGTTAAAAACTAAGAGAACCTGTATTATTTATTACACCAGCACTCCATCTGTCAACTGCCTTTAGTAAGAGCCATCACCAGCCATGTCACAAAAAGGACACAAAATCATGCAAAAAGTTTATAGAGGACACTGGAATGAAGCTCTTACCTTCTTCATGGTAAGAAAAGACCTAATTTATGTCCAAGAAGCAAAATGCAAAATTCTTCAGATCTTTTGGTCTTGTTTATGTTTTATAATAATTTAAGGCTATTCTTTGTTTGGTCTCAAGACATTGAATTCAGAAACAAATATACCTCACACAATAAAAATTTCTCTCCTATTTTCATGTTTGGTTTCATTGACTCGTGTCTATGGAGCCAAGAAATAAACAAACACACATGACAGCAAGTGTAAATACATAAAACCCAGGTGTATGTCTAACTACTTCATCTTCTCCTCATTATTAAACCTTACAGAGGCAAACAATACTTGGATGCACCGTACTGAGCATAATAATCAGCATCAGGTCAAGAGGTCAGGTCTCACTCAGCAGCGTTTCACAACATTTGAACATTACACCCATGACAAGAATTTGAATGAGTTCTTTGTAACAAACACACACTTTCAGAGGGACAAGCAAAACACAGTTCTGTCACCTGTGCTGTCAGTTACTGCCTCAGTGCAGCAGCTCTCTTGACAGACACCAAAAAGGGGGAGAAAAAGTGCAAAGAAAAAAGGGACATAAAGCAGGATTTCAGACTGCCCAGCTTCAGCATGTTTACCTTTACAAAAGCTAAAGATAAAATCGCTGCCTGCAGACTCTTCTCATAAAGCTGTGCTTCTCCAACAGCAAGTCATGACTGCCTTGGGAGTTACAGAAGTAGTCAGCAGCAGCTCACTTCTACCCTAATCAACAGGGGTTTAATTCCTGTGAGGTAGAAAGAAAAAAGCCATAAAATTACCAGCCTTAATGCTCACGACAAAGCGACAACTAACTCTCTTCAATTGCTGTCAACAGCTGCCATTCCTCTAGAGGGACTGTAAACCACCACAGTGAGGAATTAGTGCATGGAAGACAAACTGAGGCTGACTGAAAACGCCACAGGAAGACAAAAGAGACAAAGGGGATCATCCATCTGAAATGCTTAAAGAAAACGGCCTTGTGGGGAAGCACACAGGGGATGGTATCCTTCTTCACCAATTTCACTCCCCCTTAATTCCATTCCTAAACTTGCTCACTGCCTTCCCAATTCAATGCATTCCTTCTTTCAAGTATCTTTTTTTACCTCTGCACCTCATTTTTTTCTCCTTTTCCTTATTTTGTTTTCTTTTTATTGCTCTTTTTACAACTTCCCAACTTCCTTTCTGATTCTTCTACCCAGACTGCCTACTCCTTTTCTAGTCTGTCCACTCATTTTTCAGTGGCCAACACTTGACTTTTTTTTTTTCCTTTCTTCTGTCCAGAACATCCTCTTCTTATTTTTTCATTCAGTATGTCCCTTCCTGAGCACACCCTTCCCACTTCTATACTTTCTTCCTTTTTCCCCCCTCAAGGACACTTGACTTTTCCCATAGCTTAAGTTATTTCATTTCTTGTCTTCAGTCTCCAGACTGAGATTCCAGAAACAAAGCCAAGCCCAATGCTCAGCGTAAACTCTGGCATAATAGTCCATCATCAATCAAAACAGGAGGGGTGATTATTGGCTTTACTGGTCAAAGAAAGTGAAATGGATAGGTGAGAAACAAAAGCAGCATGGGCAAAAGCAGTACTTTGATCGTATTGATGCTGCTTCTCTAGTGGTGGCTTGGAGACCACTAAGCCTTACTGCTAGACACCAATGCTTTCTGCTGCTCTGCCTGCATGGTCCTTCGCCTCAAGAGTCCTCATTTCAGCTGAGGTTACTTAAAGAAGACTTTAGAAGAGGGGACATGATTCACACCAGACTAAGGGAATGAATCCCTATTTTATAATAGAGCAGACAGAATGGCATTTTTTCATCTACTTCATGCAACCCTTGGATACTTACACCACCACAGGCAAACAGCACAAAGTCTGTTGGGCAGTGAAAGAACTGTTTTGAAGTAGTCTGGGAGCAAAGAAATGGTAGGAAGCAAGTGACTGATTTCCCAGTGATGTGCCCCATGGTTAAGTTGCCCTGGAAATATGGAAATGGAGTTTTAAATTACATGCAAACTCTACCTGAAACACCTAATACTGCTGAATACATCAGTGGATTCCACACAGGAGTTGAGGCACAGCCTCAGCAGGCAAATGAAACCAAGAGCACACACAAAAAAAGTCACTTTTCACACACTGGTAAAACCAACAAATGGCCAAGTCACCTCAAACTCAATTAGTGCACCTAAGCCTGAAATAGCTCCACATAATTATTTTCAGGAACCCCAAGACTAGGCTATTTGTGTTTGTTTAATTATGATACTAATTGGGCTATCATTAATGTCCCTGATTCTCTAAGTTTAATAAGAAAAAGCAGCCTCTTAAAATTTAATCCAGTGGTGTAGCCAGCTGCCAGAAAGCATGGACAAGTTCTCTCAGGAAGGAAAACATTGGAAACTGTGGCCTTACACAGTTCTTTCTCAGATTTGTGAAGAAACAATCACACAGCCCCCTGAACTTAGAACAGCCACATTAAGAGTCTTTCATCCTGCTGGGATAAACTTCATTGGACTACCTTCATACACAGCAAATTAAGCACAATTGATCACATACAGAGTCAGATGGAATTGCAAAATTAGCTGGTTTAGAGATGCAGGGGCAGTCAAAAGCAGCTGAGATTTTTCACTGCATTTTCTTAATAAAGAGCAACAGTGACTAAATTTAGTTTTACTTCTCAGATAAAAGAAAAAAAAAGCACCTGCAAAATCAATTAACACCTGCAAACGTTCTGCTGGTTTCAGAAGCTGTCATACATCAGTCTGGTAACAGTGCCATTTTGGTCAGGAACAGACAGGATTTTAAAACCCACAACATGTGTGACTGCCTTCATTCTTCCAAGTAGCAACTGCTCTATTCCTCAGTTGACTCCATAAGAGAGTCCAATTTTACATCTCCAACTGCCCCTAAGGGAAAGCAAAATGTTTCTGAACGCCTTAGTGTCTATATTCTCCACCTTTGCCTATCTCACAGTTGCCTAAGATAGATCTAAGAGACAAGGAACAGAACAGTGCAGACTTCAGCTTCCCACCAGACTCCTAATGCTGCAGGAATAAGTGCAGTCCGCCTCTGCTGTTCACTCGTCAGTCCCCAAGCTTCCAGCTTAGGATGAAGGAAGGACAGGCCAAAAGGAGGCACAAGATGAACTGGGTCACATGAAAAGCTATAAAAGAGGTGACACAGTACAGAATGCTGATGGAACAAGGTCATATGAATTTATGCCCTATAAACCAAAAAAAAAGGGAAACAGAGAGTTGAGAGTTCGCAAAGGCATTGTAAAAAAGAAACATTTTAGCTACTAGCAAAGAGTAAGCATTTTCCTCTTTCAGACACACACAGTCAAAATATGTCCTGCAGCTTATACCTGAGGGACAAAATGGAAAGAAAAAGTATCAATTAGTTCTCTACCTGCTTGATCTCTTGTTTAGAAATCTTTGGTTCAAAATTTAGAACAGTTCATGCTAGTGATGAGGTAGATTTAAAAGCAAAATATTTCCCTTTGTTAGAAAACTGCCTCTTTCTGTTCAGAGATTTGGCTTCATTATGGCACAAGGAAATTACCCTGGGGAACAGTACAGCAGAAAGATTCTATTGACCATGCATGGAAACAAAGTCCAAGTTTCTTATCTAACCTTCCATCAGAGATGAGCCACCTGCCTGCTCCTATAAAGAACCCTCATGACCTGCCTCCATCCCTCTTATAAATTTCCATCAAGTATGGTATTATATGAGTAGCCCTCACATTGATCCAGAATGCCTGTGTCCATCATCTTGTAATCCTGCTCACTCTCATGTTACCTGCCACATGTAAGAATAATAATCTCCAAATGTCTGCTGAACAATGTCAGCTTATTCCTTAAAACAGCAATTTTCCTGAGTGTATATAAAGATGAAGAAGAAAGACCATAAAGCCATGGGAAGCACCATCACTTCCACATTTTTTTTCTTTTCTTTCAAGCAGAAGCCATGAAGACTGGTTAGATTTTCATCCAGGCCAGATGATTTTTCCAGAGCTCCCAAACTACAGTCACAGCAGCTCCACCAGGTGTGGGGAAAGGCCATACTAATTGTTCAGCAGGGCCTAGGGAGAGTTACAGAAATGCAGATGTAAAAGAGTGATGCCCAGTACTGTCAGCAGTAATGAATTATTGCTCAGTTGTGCTCTAATAACTCTTCACATAGACAGTGGTGAGTTTATTATTTTTTAACAGGTAGGATTATTTTGTTACTCATCAGAAAGGTAGATGTTATCTGAGCTAAAGACAGGGAGGCTTCTGATGCACTGATGCACTGTTCAATTTAGCAACTGTTGCCATGGAAATATCTTTTTTACTGACTGCTAATGATTGTCTCATGTTTGAAATGTGGTTTATGCACATTCTACATGAGAGCAGAGAAGCATGTTTATAAATGAGCAAACCATGGTTATTCCAACATTGAAACGCAGTGTGCTCCATGTACTTTTCAGAAATACATAATTTGCCAAAACAGATTATTAATCATGATAATATATTAGCCTCCTGCAGTATATAACCCAATTACCAGAGTAAAGCAGAAGGCCTTTCCAGATCCAAAATTAACAGGAACAGGAAACGTAATGCAATTCGCATTTTCTTCCTCTTATCTTCCCACAGGAAAGGACAGGGAGAGAACCAGGGAGACTATCTGGTCCAGCAGCTGCAATTGTTATGAATTTACAAATGCACAGGCTGCATGAAGACATATTCAGTTTACTGCTGCAGGATTTTGTCAGTTTTCTTCATACTGGCCTTATCGCCTAAAACTAATTTTTAGAATCAACCTTTCTCCACAAGCTGAAACACATTTTTTAATCTGCTTTGTCCTGATATTTGCCTGCCAATAATCTCTCATTCCACACGTTTTTCAATTTCAGTTACAGCAGAGAAACCACGGGGATGATACACTTATTTGTATGTGTGTGTGTGAAGCAAGCTGAGTGATGCCAAAAATCTAATATCTTCATTACTTCTGACAACCCCTTGAAGTGTTAAGGCCAGAAGTGAGGTTTTCTTTACCAGCTTCAACAAAAGACAATGAATGAACCTAGCAAGCATGATTAAAATGGATGGTGGTGACCAGAGTAGCTTCAAACGTCGGAAAAAAATGGTTCTAACTGCAGACTGACAGAACAAAGCACCTAATCCTGTGAGGAAATCCCAGCAGCCCAAAGAAGGGACTTCTCTGACATATGACCTAAATGGTAGCTTCAGCTCAGAGTAACTTGCACTACCAATAGGCATGTAAGAATCAAGGAAATCAGTACCATCTCTATATACTTAAATACAGCTTACTGATATTATTACATACAATTTTCAGGACAACTCCTGAGCAGCAGGAGGAGGGAGATGTTCCTAGTGCATGGGAGGACGTGGATTTATGGGCAGCAGTACGTATGACCATCTCTTCTATCAATAAACTTAGCCATATACTCATGGCTGACCCTTGTGCTGAATACAAAGGCAGAGGAAGAATAGACAGTACACTGCCACCCTGATCAGGCAACAGCTACATCACAGTATGTTAATGCCTGCACTAAGAAGCCCACCATTACCAGATATATACAATATAGAAATATTTAAATTTACTTGAAATATTCCCTTCTCCTGCAACTATTATCTGTAAAGTCATCGAGAGCAAGACTGATGCTGGAAGGCACCAGTAGAGAGATTTCTTCAGGAAATAAATGATGCTTGTTTTTGACTCGTTCTGGGTATGTCTGTATGTTAGAAAAG